GGCGAGAAAAATATTGGTCCGAAAGTCGGCTGAATCGGGAATCGAACCCGAGATCTTCAGCTTGCCGGGCGACTGCTCTTCCAACTGAGCTATTCAGACACGAATAAATATTCTTCTCAATGTTTATACCCCCCACCCATCCAAAGCGTCGTAATTAGGTCCAGACGCAACGAACAATAATGAGAATACTTATTAAGTCAGCTCTTTTAATTTTTAAAACCACAATCTCCACTTGATTCCTCTTGTGGTTTTAAAAATTAAAAGAGCTGACTTAATAAGTATTCTCATTATTTTAAATAAAATTTTTATTTTTTACAGATGTTTACACTATTTCGGAGCGGCGGATAAATTGCAGGCGCATACGGAAGATTGCGGGAAACTGAACGACTGTGCTATCCGGTTGCCGAGCGAGAATGACAAGTGGCTCAGCTTTGACAATTTCACGAGGAAAGAGCGGCTTCCGTTTGTGGTGTTCGCCGACCTCGAGTGTGTTTTAGTAAAGACCAAAGATGCCAAAAATTATCAACACCGTCAAGTGTTCAGCATCGCGTATTACGTACAGTGTTCGTACGACAGTTTGTTGTCAGCGTACAATTCCTGCCGTAGTGTTGATTGCGTCGCGTGGTTTGCCGAACAGCTTAAAAATTTAGCAATTCGTGTAAAAAATATTTTAACGACCAATGTCCCCATAGTAAATTTAACGCCTGACGAGTGGTTAAAATTTCGCACCACGACGCATTGCCACATTTGTGAGAAACCGTTTGACGAAGATGATACACGCGTCCGCGATCATTGCCACCTCACCGGGCGGTACAGGGGTCCCGCGCACTCAAATTGTAACTTAAATTACAAAGAATCATTTTGTATAGTCTTTCACAATCTGTCCGGCTACAACGCGCATTTCATTATCGAGGACATAGCCACAGCGTTCGAAGGAGAAATCGAATTCTGCCGATAACAAAGGAAAAATATATATCATTCTCGAAAACTGTTAGATTGACGCAAGACAATAATTCGGAAAATTATATTAAATTACGGTTTAACGATTCGTATAAGTTTCTCAGCGCTAGTCTCGACAAATTAGCGTCATTTTTTAATAAAGATAAACTAAAAATTTTACATTTGGAATATCAAAATTTATCGACAGATACGTTTAATTTATTGACACGGAAGGGCGTCTTTCCGTACAAATATATAGACTGTGTGGAGAGGTTACAAGACACATGTTTACCACCGCGCAACTCATTTTACAGTTCCCTGACCGGCGACACAGTATCCGAGAGTGATTACGCGCACACCGAGACCGTCTGGAGCCGATTCTCCCTTCGAACGCTAGGCGAATATAGCGATTTATATTTAAAAATTGATGTCTTGTTATTGACCGATATATTTGAAAATTTTCGCGACAGTTGTATAAAAAGTTATAGACTCAATCCCACGTATTATTATACTCCCCGGATATACATGGAACGCCATGTTAAAACATACAAATATAAAATTTGAATTATTAACAGACATTGACATGGTAATGTTTGTCGAACGGGGTATACGCGGCGGCCTTAGTCAATGTTCAGGCCGATACACACAGGCTAATAACAAGTACATGCAATCGTACGACCCATCGAAACCCTCATCTTATCTCATGTATTTTGATGTAAATAATTTGTACGGATGGGCAATGTGTCAACCATTGTCGTATGCCGATTTTCTGTGGGTCGACGATGTATCGAATTTTGATATATCATCTATCGCGTTTGATTCGCCTATAAACTATGTTCTCGAAGTAGATTTAGAGTATCCGCAGCATCTTCATGACGCGCACATTGACCTACCGTTTTGCCCAAAGTTCGATAAGCCGCCCGGCAAGCGGGAGTATAAACTCCTCGCAACGCTTTACGATAAGAAGCGCTACGTAATACACTATCGTAATCTGCAGCAGTGCACGCACCACGGGCTACGCATAACAAAAATATACCGCATACTACAATTCACGCAGTCAGCGTGGCTTCAAAAATACATCGAACGCAACACACAGTTTAGAACACAAGCGAAAAACGATTTTGAAAAAAATTTATATAAATTGATGAATTGTCATGTCTTGCCCTGAGGTCGGGTTGTTAATTAAACACCAGTGTGATTTTCAATAAACTATATGGTTATTATTCAATATCACGAGAACTCGCTCCGATTACAAAGCGCGTCACGCGGTGTGCCGGTACGTTACGTACGAGCGTCGGCCGTGGACTGACTCTGCCCTCGTGTCCCCGCCGTAGCGATATGTTGTTGATTCGGAGATTTCGCAGATCATGTGAATACAAAGTAATGATGATATATGAATACAATGAATACACCACAACTCCTCCTTCTTTATTCTGACATTATTTTTTTAATCGTTCTGAACGCCGCAGTATATTCGGTAGTTTCTTTTCGGTTGCTCCGATAGTGCTTGCAGTTCTAACGTTCGCCTTCGGGTACTTAATAATTTGATCGACGTGTCGCTTCCAAATTTTACCTGTGTTATTTCGACTCTATACGTTACCGGAGACAACTTTTGTATGATCTTTCCTTCGATTCGTTTATCGTTACGAGTACTGTAATCGTTAACCATTACCGTTTCGCCTATTTGGAGTTCGACATTTCGACTGCCGTTTTCGCAATGACCTGAGCTAATTGTTTATCGGAAACATCACTATTAACGTCTGGCTTTAGTAAGTCAAAACGCGTTCTCAATTCTCGCTTGTAAACCATATACGCCGGCGTTCTCCCCGTCGTGCAATGCTCCGACGTTCTATAATCAAATAAAATAAGTTTACCGCATAATCTAACGGTTTACTGCTCTTCACTATCTTGTCCACTTTATCTTTAAAAGTCTCTACAAAATTTTCTGCTGCCCCGTTCGTTGCAGGGTGGTGCGGCGCCGTGAAGCTGTGTTTAATGCCGTTTCTATTTACAAAGTCTCGAAACTTGTTACTCGTATATTGAGTCCCGTTGTCGGTGACAAGATGTCTTGGTAGTCCATGCCTACCGAGTATTTTCTTAAACTTCTCGATAGCTTTTGGAGCTTGCGTGCACCTGTGCATGTCAATTATTTTAAGCCACTTTGAGTACGCGTCTACAATTATCATGAACAGGTGTCCGTGGAATGGACCTAAAAAGTCTGCGTGAATTCTGCTCCAAAACCTTTTTTTTTTTTTTTTTGACGCAGTGGAATCCTCATGGATACCACCGCTCCCCAGGAAGAGAGCGGATGGTTATGTGGGACTCTTGTTCCCCTTGGCCGATCCACGGATGGATCGGTCAGGGGGCCCAAGACATACCTCACTAAACCCACTGCGGATACCTTCGCGGGCGTTAATGGGGGACGGCCAGGATGCTGGTTTCCCATGCCGACTAGCCGCCCCCCCGCCTAATCCCTCCTTGGGAGAGTGCCGCTGAAGGCGACACCCTCCCCCCGTCATTGTACGGGTACCTCGCGGTTGCGACGCAGGGCGGTATCGACCCTACGTCGCGCCCTCCCAAAAAGTTTGGGGGGCGGGGTCACGGCTCGAGTATCCCGCTCGAGCCGCCACCCCTCGCCTCCGGAACGGTGCTCCCTCCCTTTCCCAAAGGGAATGGGGATTCGGCATTTGCCCCGGAGGCCCTCTCCAGAGGGTTCCTCTCAGAAGGAGAGGAACCCCCTCCGTGGACGGCGTTGCCCTCTCACCGGTGCCTTGTGGCTCCCGGTGAGAGGGCCCCGCACGTCACGTCCTCACAGAGGGGGACCCAGGCGCCCCGACCGGACAGGCGGAGCCTGCCCGGCGGAGACGCGTGGCCCCCCCTCGGCCCCCCCGGCTGCGACTCCCTCCGCTCCCTTGGGAGTTGGGAATCGGCCGCAGCCGAGGAGGTTAACCCTGCCAGGCGCGCGGGAGCACCCCACAGAGTGGGGGTCACGCCCGCACGCTGCTCCAAAACCTATCGGGGTAGGGCCAAGGTGTCAAAGGTACACTCGCAGATGTTTTTCTCTTTCTCACACATACTGTACACGCCGCAACCATGTTCTCAATTTTTCTATCAATGTTCGGCCACCATACATATGATCTTGCGATCATCTTTATCTTCACTATTCCGAAGTGTGATGCGTGAAGTTCTCGAAGGACGCTTTCTCTAAACTTCTCTGGAACCACAACTCTATAACCCCACAGTACACACCCTTTGTCCACTGACAACTCTTCTCGTTTTACATACAAATTTCTCTCTTCCCCGCTTAACTCATCCGCTTTTGGCCACTCGTTTCTTACGTATCAAATAACTCTGCTTAACGTTTTATCGCTTTTACTCTCTCTCGCAATCTCTCCCGCATTCAAAATTTCGTTTTCTTCTATGTAATTTATCGCAGTAAATTCTTTATTGAAAATTGGAGTCGCGTCATCGATAGGGAGTCTTGATAGTGCGTCACAATTGCTGTTTTTTTCTGATTTAATGTACTTGATCGTGTATGAAAATCTCGAAAGAAAATATGTCCATCGCTGCAGTCTACTAGCCACTGTAAGTGGAATTTCCTGTTTTGGGCCGAAAATATGAGTCAACGGTTTGTGATCAGTTCGTAAAATTATCTGTTTACCGAAAATGTAATTGTAGAATTTTTTAAAACCGAATACTATCGCACTAGCCTCCTTATCAATTATCGCTCTATTCAATTCTGACTCCGGAATCATTTTTGATGCGAACGCTATCGGTCTTTCCGTTTTATCTTTATACCGGTGTGATAGTATCGCTGCTATTCCGTATGCCGATGCATCGCATGCTAGGACTAACTCTTCCTCAAGATCAAAATGAGCTAAAACTCTCGGGGACGCTAATTCTGTTTTTACCCATTCGAAAGCCGATGTGCATTTTTTACTCCATTTAAATTCGCCTTGTTTAGCGCATTCGTACAGCGGTTTTAGCCTCTCGGCTCTATCTGGTATAAATCTTGCATAATATGTTATTAATCCTATGAACGAGTCTAATTGTTTCTTGTTTTACGGTGTCGGTGCGTGAATCATTGCCTTGACTTTTGTTTCCGCTTTGTGGAGTCCATTCTTATCGATTACGAATCCCAAAATGTCGAGTCGATCTTTGAAAAAATCGCATTTGTCTATGTTTATTTTGAACCCGGCTTTTTCTAGTCGCGTAAATACCGTATTGAGGGCTTGCCAGTGTTTCTTGTCGTTACTACTGGTGCAAAATATATTGTCGAAATACGGTATCACGCCTTCAATACCCGCTAAGCATTGTTCTATTTTTCGCTGGAAGTCTCCCGGCCCTGACACGATGCCTTCTGTCATTTTTGTGTATTTGTACAATCCTTTTTGTGTAATTATTGTGAGGTAGTCTTGACTTTTCTTGTCTACCGGAATCTGCATATACGCGTGCTGTAAATCTATTTGTGAAAATTTCTCGCCATTCTGCAACACTAAGAAGATTTCATCTATCAATGGTAACGGATGCCGGTCCATTACTAAACAAGGGTTTACCGTGAGCTTGAAATTTCCACAAATTCTTACTGTCCCGTTCGATTTAATTACTGGTACGATTGGAGTCGCCCAATCGGTAACGTTTACTTTTTTTAAATGACCTAGTGCCTCCAATCTATTTATTTTGTTTTCGACTTTTTTTATCAATGCAAAAGATAAGTGTCTTGTCTTAAACGCTTTTGGTTGTGAATTCTCTTGTAGTACTAATTTTAAAACACCATTATTATTTAGTCCCGTTCCCGGCCCGAATAATTTTGGAAATTCTTTACTAACGTTACTCAAATCTATTTTATGGCAGCTCAACGTATCGCTTACTAATTCATTTAAAAGTAATGGTCATAGTGCTAATGCCTGTAGCCATTGTCTTCCAATTAATGTTGGTTCCAATTCCTTTATTATTATCATTTTTAATGTTGCCTTTTGCCTACCTAATTGCACCTCTAATCCCGTCTTAATACCGACATGTTCAAGTGGGACTTTACCATACGCTTTTAGGGGCATATTCAGCGTTTCAATTTGTATACTCGGAAAATATCTCTTTTTTGTTTCTTCCGACATTATTATTACATATGTTCCCGTATCTATTTCCATCTTTACTTACATCTTTATAATCTTATTAATTCCGTTTACAATAATATTTATGTACATTGGTTCCGCGGTCTTACAATCGTTTATGATATTTACATTACCGACTCTTATCCGATTATTACCAATGTCGTTTTCTTCTTGTCAGATGAAGTCTTCTGAAGACTCTTCTCCCTTCTCAGTTTCCTGGGTTGACACTGCTTGAAGGTGTTGAACCTTCGATTTTTTTTATTTGCACATTACTGTGAGGTGTCCCTTCCTGTGGCAGGCTTTGCATGCTTGGTATCGTTGAAAACAATCTCTGGCCATGTGATTGTCTTTTCCACAGCAGTAACATATGATTGTCCGCTAATAAGTGTTTGAGCTGTCGTCCGTAATTTTCTTTCTTGATGCGCCTCTAGTGTACTGTTTGTTACCTCGCCCGAATCCTCGTGTGCTTCTGTAAGAACGTTGTTGTGGCTGCTGTGTCCATTGCACCGAACTTGTGGTTGGCGTCGCTGCCGTATTCAATTTATCAGTCGTCGTCGCGTCCTGTTCTGCCGTTTCCATTTGTGTCGCAATTTTGTATGCTGTATCGTCAAGTTTTCTTCTCAAAATAGAACTTTCTTCGTCGCATGATCCTTGAGGCCACACACAATTTGATCTCGTACCGCATTATTTACATCCGGAAAGTTGCAGTATAGTAAAAGTCGCTTTAATCTTGCAACAAAATCAGCAACCGATTCCGTTAATGCTTGTTGTGCCTGATGGAATTTACACTTTTCCATCGCCTCCGAAGGTTTGAGGTTCAAATGGTCTTTGATAAGCGCGACTAGTTGCGCATATGTTTTTGTGCTTGGTTTGTCTGGTGCACATAGATCTCTTGCTAAATTATACGTTTCCGGGTTGATTTTCGTTAGCAATACTGCTGCTTACTTATCAGCCTTTATATTGTTTACCAAGAAATATAGATCGAGTCGTTTCGTATATGTTTCTCAGTCGTCTTTTCCTAGTACGAACTCTAACTTTGATGCTTTGTGTTCTGACATCGTGTGAATTATTTCCGGGACTTTGTTTATTTCGTTCTCAGGTGTTTCGTTGCGTTCTGTTTCTTGTTCACGATGCTTATCACGTACGTGCGATCTTAGAAGTTTTCGTAGTTGTTCGATATTGCTATTATTGTCGAATTTAATGTTTAGGTCCGATAATAATTTAGCTAGTTGTGCCTTTGAGAGATTTTGAATCCACGATGTCCTTGCGTAGTCAATCTTATGAATCGTTATTTCTTCTTTGCTACTGAATTTTGACGACATTCGAATATCGAACTATTCTAGAAGTTTCTTTATTCGTGAATTACACTTGTGTAATTCTGTCTCCCGATACCTTTGAGTTTTGTTGTTATCGAATGCTACATTCTTCATTGGCTACTAGCTTGTTCGTTACTGCTTTGCAGTTACTGTATATAGTGGATCTCGAGTACGGCGAATCAAGCGCCCTTTTCCTACTTTTCTTATGGCGGTTTTGATTGTTGAGTTCGCGTTTCCTCGTCGCCAAAATTATCATGTTTTGCCCTGAGGCCGGGTTGTTGATTAAACACCAGTGTGACTTTCAATAAACAACTATATGGTTATTATTCAATATCACGAGAACTCGCTCCGATTACAAAGCGCGTCATGCGGTGTGCCGGTACGTTACGTACGAGCGTCGTCCGTGGACTGACTCTGCCCTCGTGTCCCCGCCGTAGCGATATGTTGTTGATTCGGAGATTCCGCAGATCACGTGAATACAAAGTGATGATGATATATGAATACAATGAATACACCACATGAATAATGCGGTATTCGATAAGACGATGGAAAATGTGCGCAATTATGTGGATGTAAAATTATTAACAAAATGGGACGGACGGTACGGTGCGGAGGCAATGATCGCGAAACCAAATTTTCATAGTACAAGCATATTTTTAAAAAATTAGTTGCCATAGAATTACGCAAACTCGAAGTTAAATTCTACAAACCAATCTACGTCGGCATGTGCATACTCGATATATCTAAAATATGTCTTTATGAATTTCACCACGAATACATGTCACCGCTCTATTGTGACAATTGTAGAGTAATGTACACCGACACGGACAGTTTAATATATCAAATTAAATGCCAGGATGTCTATGAAAATTTGAAACGCGATATCGCTCGATTTGATACCAGCGATTACGCTGCGAATAATGTGTACGGTATACCACTCGCGAATAAAAAGGTGCCAGGTCTGATGAAAGATGAGAATAACGGCGCGATGACCGAATTCGTTGGGCTTAGAGCAAAAATGTATGTTTTGCGGGTGGACGGTAAAAAAGACACTAAAAAAGCAAAAAGCGTCAAAAGTAACGTTGCAGCGCGTAGTATAACATTCGACGATTATACGCGTTGCCTTAATGAAGAAATTGAAATGACGTGTCAGCTGTCATGCATAAGATCGAAATTGCATAAAGTGTATACCATCAGCGAGACAAAAATTGCTCTAAGTCCCTACGATGACAAGCGGTATGTCGTACCTGAGTCGACCGACATCTTGCCGTGAGGACATTATCGAATACCGTTGTAAATTATATTTATTATATTTATTATATTTATTATATTTATTATATTTATTATATTTATTATATATTATATTATATTTATTATATTTATTATATTTATTATATTTATTATATTTATTATATTTATTATGATCAATTAAAATTAATATTGGTCGCTAGTGGTAAAATAAGCTTAGAAAACTTGACTTCGACGTAACTAGCAAATTTTATTTAATTATTTCACGACGTTTCGACCATTTAGTTGTGGTTCTTTTCAAGTGAAATTTCTACAACATAATATTACACAATAGTTTTTAACATACGAGAACTCATTTAAGTGTTAAATTAATAAAATAAATATAAATTTTATAAACATACCCATCAATTAAACTGAGATTAACGTAACATCACACTGATGTTATTTAAAATCGAAAGTTAAAAGTTAAAAGAGGAACACGTCCCATTGTTATGATGTTGAAAGTAAAAATTAAAAGAGGAACACGTCCCATCGTTATGATGTTTCGTCAACGACTAAATTTGAAACGCGCCACTAAACAATCTTTATTATTTTGTCGTAAATGTTTGTCAAATTCTCGGTGTCTTTCTGTAGGTTAACCGTATTGTCATGCTTCTTTATGAAGAACATTTCAGCAATCTCTCTCTTTCTTACATGTTTCTCGTTGTGTAAAATGGTCGGTGATTTCCAATCAAAGTTATGTCCAAAATTACATCTGTGTTTGCTCAGAACCGAATGATTAGACTCATGTAATTTAATATTGCTGGCATGTTTCTTTACTCTAGTGCATAAATGTCTTTTCGTTTGTCCAACGTATGATGCATTACAATTTTCACAAATAATCTTGTATACTACATTTGTTTTAATATCATTAGTTATTAAATCTTTACCTCGTTTTATCAGCCTATTCAACTTTTTTGGCAAACTATAAACAACATTTATGTTAGCATTTTTAAGTGACCTTTTAATACTGTCGCTAACATCTTTAACGTATGGGAGTGGAATTACATAATTCTTATCTTGAGCCGAATTCACATTAACGTTATTACTTAAATCATTACTTAAACTGTCGTTATTATCCGCATTGTGACCGTTAACATTCCTATTGTTATTCAGTACATTAATTATTTTATTTACATACTTATTAATAATATGATCCGGAAAACAATTATTTATTAAAATGTTCGTTACAATCTCAATATTCGTATTATGAAATTGTTCGTTAGACAGTAAAATTGCATGGTCTACTAAATTGTAAATCGTATTAATTTTATACTTGATAGGATGACTCGAAAGAAAATTGATGTATCTGCCAGAACATGTAGGTTTCCTAAATCAATTAGTTGTCAATTTATTCCCATTGCGGATAACTGTAGAATTTAAAAAATTAATAGAAGAATTGGTTTCTATTTCATGTGTAAATTTTTAAACGTTCATGATAGTTATTAAATGTACTTAAAATTTCATTTATTTTAGAGCTAGGTAAAATAACAAAAATGTCGTCCACATATCCATAAAAAGTCTGAACTTTAAAACTTAAAGAATTTAAACAATTTGTTTTCAAGTCATCCATTACCAAGTCAGCTAATATCGGTGATAGAGGGGATCCCATAGAGCTTCCATAAATCTGTTCATAGTACTGCTCATTAAATTGAAAACTAGTTGAAGTAAGTATTACATCAATAGCGTGTAGAAACTGTTGCAAATTAAATTTAGTTTTTAGACTTATGTCACTCCAACGACTTTCAATTGCAGGAAAAACTAAATCTTTTGGAATATTTGTAAACAACGAACAAACATCCAAGGAAATCATTACGTCATCGTCATTAACCCTTGTATTTTTAATAATATTCACAAACGTCCAACCATCTTTAACATTTGAATCCGGCTTCTTAACAGACTTAACTAATATCTCATGAATGTAACTGGCACGTATCTCACCACGCGCCTCGAGTTGTTCGAGTCATATTGGACGCGCTTCCTGGATGCGCACGATGCCATCTTCTCTTTCGAGAAGGTAGACACTTCGGATTACATGCGGCAGGACGTTTACGCGGTGACCGAGGATAATTACGTAGCCGCGAAGTCGCGTATCACATCCTTTATGCCGACGACGAGATCCGCGGACGGGCAAAGTGCCGCGAGTTCAGTATTGCGCCAAATCCAGCTGCCGAAGATAAGCTTGCCGAGGTTTGACGGCGATCAGCTGGCGTGGGAAGGCTTCCGAGACCTTTTCAAGTCGCTGGTCCATGACGTAGAGGGACTCACTCCCTCACAGAAGCTGCAGTATTTGAAGGCCAGCCTCAGCGGGGACGCAAAGGCCGCCGTCGCCAATATCGAAATCTTTTCCGACGGATACGCGCTAGCGTGGGACGAACTCGTGACGCGATATGATAATCGGCGAGTCCTCTTGGCGACTCACATGCGCGTGCTACTCTCTGCCGCGCCGATAATCAAGCCGTCATCAGCAGAAATCAACCGCCTGATTAGCGCGGTCAACCGAGCTTCGCGCTCCTTCAGAGCAATGGGCCGCCCGGTGGAGCACTGGGATGACTGGTTCGTCCATATTCTGGTCGAGAAGTTGAATTCCGCCACCAGGCTATTATGGGAAAGCCATCGATCGAGTCGGGAGTTCCCTAATTTCGAGGAGCTCAAGGAGTTCCTCTTCACGCGGGCTCATGCGTTGGATGCTTTCAATCTGCGGACACCACCGATGACCCTCAGTTCCGCTTCCAAACAAAAGCGTACGAGCCGCAAGGACGATGTCGCGTCTCACGCCATGGCTGCGAGTGACCACAAAGGCACGCCGTGCCCCCTGTGCAGGGAGCAACATCACATGCGCTCCTGCCCGAGATTCAAGGCATACTCGACGAAGCAGCGCCGCGAGCAAGTGCGCAAAAGAAAGGCCTGCTTCAACTGCTTGGGACAGGGTCACGCCGCCGGAGCTTGCCCTTCAATTTACCGCTGTCGCCACTGCCAGGAGAAGCATCATACGCTTCTGCACACGGAGACGACGCCACAACCTGCCGCTTGGGAGAAAACGGAATCCGACGACTCCGCTGACAAACCGGGTCCCGTGGAGACGACCAAGATCTCCGCCTTGACCAGTTCTATCTCCACGACAGTGCTATTCGCGACCGCGGTTATTCAAGTGTTTGGTGAATTGGGCCAATCGTTGACAGTACTCGCTCTTCTGGATTCAGGATCGGAGGCATCCTTCATCTCGGAACGCGTAGCCCAGCAGCTGAGACTACCCCGCCGACGAGTGAACGTGACGGTTTCCGGACTTCAGAGCGCGACGACTGGGCGAGTGACTCACGCGGTATTGATGGTATCGGCACGGAGCGATCGCCGACAGTACGGATCACTTTGCCGAAGGCTTTGATCTTGCCCCGGCTCACCGCCCTCACACCCGGGAAACATATTCCGAGAGGTGATTGGCCGTATCTACGGGATCTAATGCTTGCCGACCTGGCCTTCGACAAGCCGGCGGCAGTCGACGCCGTCCTAGGCGCCGATATCTACGGCGTACTGCTGGACGAAGGGGTCAAGCGTGGACATCCGGGGGAACCAGCCGCTCACTCTACCGTGTTCTGTTGGGTGCTGATGGGTTCCCTTATCGGACCCGCCGATCCTCTTCCAAGCCGAGTCGCCGTCCACCATATCACCACGCAGCCTGATCTTCACCAGGAACTCCGACGGTTTCGGGAGTTAGAAAAGGTGGCCGCCCAGCCGATACTCACGCCAGAGGAGTCTCGTTGCGAGCGACTTTTCGTTGAGACTCACGCACGTGATGCGAAGGAACGCTACATTGTGCGGCTCTCTCGCAAGGAGAACCCGACGACGGGACTTGGAGCTTCCCGCCACGGGGCCTTGCGAATGCTCCTCAGCACTGAGCGCCGTTTGACGCGCGATCCGTTGCTCAGGGAGCGATATCACGACTTCCTGGCGACCTACGCCTCCTGCGGGCACATGAAACCGGCACCCCGCGGCGAGACAATCGGCGAGCAATATTACCTGCCGCACCATGCGGTGGTGAAGGCGTCAGATCCGGAAGGTAAAATCAGGGTCGTTTTCAACGCCTCCTTCCGGACCACTACGGGAATCTCATTGAACGACGTGCTGATCCCGGGACCGAAGCTGCAGGCGGACCTATGGCTGGTCCTCACACGCTGGCGTCTGCATCGATTTGCCTTCACGACGCCCATCGTGAAGATGTTTCAACAGATCCGGGTGCATCCGCAGGACCTTGATCTCCAGCGGATCTTATGGCGGGCGGATCCAGCGGCGATGGTGCAGGACTACCGGCTCACCACCGTCACCTATGGCACGGCCTCTGCGCCGTACCTGGCCATAAGGACTCTGTTACAGCTCGCGCAGGACGAGAGCCATCGATTTCCACTCGAGGCAGCTGTACTCCGGGCCAACACCTACGTGGACGATATCCTCGCGGGAGCAAGCTCGATGGAGGAAACGCTCGAACTCCAGCGGCAGACTGTGGCTCTCTTCGCTGCCGGCGGCTTCCAACTCAGCAAATGGGCAGGGACTCATACCGTGTTGTGTCCGGCCGTGGGCAGAACCGAACGACTCATCTCCAGGGTGGACAACGTGGGTGCTCTAGGAGTACTCTGGGTTCCGGCGAACGATGAGCTTCACCTTCGAGCGGTCCCCGCGCTGTCGAAGGTCGAGAATCCGACCAAGCGCACCATCCTTTCAACTGTGGCCAAACTTTTTGATCCGACGGGCTGGGCGGCTCCCGTGATCATAGGCGCCAAGATTCTCATCCAGGACTTATGGATGGCTGGATTGGATTGAGACCAAGCCATCCCGCCTACATTGCGCGAGCGGTGGTCGCGCCTTCTGGCTATGCTGCCAGACTTAGATCAGCTCAGCATTCCGCGGTGGACAGGGATCACGAGCGAGCGACACGTGGAGCTCCACGGCTTTTCCGATGCCTCAGAAAGAGCGTACGCCGCTGTGGTGTACATCCTGGGTGTTGACGACAACCAACCTCTTGGTCGCGAAAACCAAAGTGGCCCCGGTGAAGCCTGTCTCTATGCCGCGACTGGAGCTGTGCGGTGCCCTGTTGACAGCGCACCTACTCCGGAACACCAGCGCTGGCCTGGGGGTGCCCCTCTCGCACCTATACGCCTAGACGGACGCCAAGGTCGTGTTGGCATGGCTGCGGGCCCATCCTTCCCGCTGGAAGCCATTCGTCGCCCATCGGGTTGCTGCACTCCAAAAGACGGTGCCAGCCGAGCTGGCATTACGTCCTCACGTCAGAGAACCCAGCGGATGCCGCCACGCAAGGATTGATCCCGACCGAGCTGTCGCAACTTCGCTTGTAGTGAAAAAGACCTGGCTGGCTGGAACGACCCAAGGACACCTGGCCGGCGGATCGGAATCAAGGCATGGAGCTGCCTGAGGAGTGCCGAGCGCACGCGACAGCTACCGACGGAGACGAGGGAGCGGTCAATGACCTTCTGATACGCTTCTCCTCCCTTACCAGGTTGATGCGCATCACCGCATTCTGCCGTAGGTTACTTCACCGCGAGGCCCGACCGAGAACGACTCACCTGACCACCGCCGAACTGAACGACTGTCAGCTCAGTTGGCTGCGGATTGCGCAAAGACAGGACTTTGCGGGAGAGCTGGAGGCCCTCTCCCGCAATGCGCCCCTCCTGCGCCGATCACCTCTTCTGGCGCTGAGACCCATTCTAGGACGGGATGGACTGATACGAGTCGGGGGGCGACTTGAAAACTCGCCCCTGACCTATAGCGAGAAGCACCCGATCATACTGGCCAAGGGCAGCCATCTAGCACTTCTGCTGGTCCGAGACGCGCATCTGCGCACTCTTCATGGCGGCCATCAGTTGACTCAAAGCGTCCTGGCACGAACGTACTGGATCATTCACGCCAGCTCGCTGATCCGCTCCGAGATTCATCGCTGCGTCCGATGCGTCCGCTTCTAAGACAAAGCGCTACAGCAGCAGATGGGTCAGCTTCTGGCTGACCGCGTCCGGGCGGGACGTCCCTTCCTGTCCGCAGGCGTGAACTACGCAGGCCCATCCAGCTTCGAGCCTCGAAGGGTCGAGGTCAAAAATCCTTTAAGGATACATTTGTTTATTTGTATGCCTGTCCACGAAAGCCATGCATTTGGAGGCCGTATCAGACCTCACTACGGAAGCCTTTTTGGCGGCATTCCGGCGCTTCGTTGCAAGGCGAGGCCACTGCGCACGTCTGGTCAGCGACCACGAAACTTTCGAGGCGCCGAGTGGGAGCTCCGCAGGATGTTTCGCGCCGCAGCGGAATTCGGCCAGGAGTGTCAAGCTCTCCTTGCCACCAATGGGGTCAAGTGGAATTTTATCCCCCCCCCCGCGGCTCCGCATTTCGGAGGACTATGGGAGGCAGGTGTCAAAGGTCACTCTACCCACTGAGCGCGGATCCGACAGATTTTGCGGCGCTCACCCCTGGTCACCTTTTAATCGGGGAAGCTCTGATTAATGTACCAGAGCCAACAACCTTGGAGGGTCCGCCGAGTCAGGTACAAACGCGATGGCGACTTTTTTCTAACATGCGTGACCACTTTTGGTACAGGTGGTCCCGAAAATACCTGCAGCATCTTCAGCAGCTGTGCAAATGGAGGGACTTCAAGGCCAACTTCCAACCTGGGATCTTGGTTCTGCTGAAGGACGAGCTGCGGCCGCCATCAAAGTGGGCCCTTGGGCGAGTTCACGAGGTGCATCCAGGAGCCGACGGCCTAGTTCGGGTCGTCAGCATCGACACGGCCACCTCCCGGCTCACGCGGCCGATCACGAAGATCTGCCCGCTCCCGGCCGCCCCGGACCACTAGAACAAACAGGACGCCTGGGCCTCGAGCGAGTGTCGTACGGCGGGCGGCGAGCGTTTCTATTTCGTCCCCCGGACGAGGCGGGCGGAATGTTGAAGTGTCGGCGGGACTCCGCTGGTACTCTAGACGTCGTTGGCTCGATGACCGCGAGGCCTCCGAAAGGTTTGCGTCCCGAGCCATCAAAACAATTTTTTGATGCTTGGTACACAACGCCGGCGATTGCCTTATATGGTCATTTTCGACAATGTTTGCGAGGACTACGGTCCCCTTTCCCTCGCGATCGGGTGGATCAAGGAGCTCGAAACGAGGGAAGGGGGTTTTCTCGAAATTCCTCTTCGCGTCTCAAAGGGTCAGTCTGATACTGGCACGACGAGCGGTACCATAGGCGTAAATTACCGAGATAAAGAGAAATTACTATTGGTTTTTCTATTGTAACTCTGTGTTTTCTGCGTTGGTTAATGACGGCACGGATTTGCGTGCCGTGAATAAAGAAAAGTGACGTGTAAAGTGCTCGTTTGATTCTCCACCCTCTAATCCGCGCAATCCACCAGCAGTCCTCCAACCGGCAAAAATTCGATCGGCGAGACGCCAACAATGTATTAATGAGAATTATATATTTTTTGTTATATATATATTTTTTTGTTATATATTTTATATATTTTATATATGGTATACAATATATAGTATGTTATACAATGATTGAATAAAATACATTAAATAACATTGTTTTTATGTATCCAAGAGTTGTGCGAACTGTCGAATCCCAGCCATTTCACGTAAACCTCGTTACCCCTCCTGCGCAGTATTTTCTCCACGAGGTACATATCCGGACAATTTGCGCGATGCAGCTCGTGTTCGTAAAACGCTCCAGCAATAAATGTCTTGCGATAATCCTCGAGTAGATATATTACGGGATTAGTATGCTGCACTTTAACAATCGTAAACACTTCGGTTGTCCAATTTAGCGTGTATCCCTTCTGGAAAAGTTGTTATACTTGCTGACGCGTACTTGATCACCTACTTTGAACTTTGCCGGGCCCGCGATTTTTACACGATTGTACACGGTAGCCAAAAGTCTTTCGGCGATCGCGGGGGTAACGTCGGCTGGTCGCATACCAATCGTTCGATGCTTTCGTCCGTTGTAATCTGATACAAGGCGTGGCAGCATGTCGAACCACTTGTAAGTGCCATTCAGCGTAAACATCTTCCACATGTCGTTCTTTAGCGTGCGATTGAATCGCTCGACGACCGACGCCTTCAATACCGAATATGTAGAATAGTGATTAATGTCATGTTTTCGCATAAGTCGTTGCACATCGGCGTTGTAAAATTCCTTCCCGTTATCAGGTTGCATGTTTTTCGGGCATCTCTTGCTATCTTGAATTATCTGGGCGATTGCGTCAGCTGTCTTGCTTCTTCCTTTACTCTTGAGTGGTACAGCCCACGCATACTTGCTCAACACATCGATGACGGTGAGTATGTAGTAGTAATCTCTGTTGAAACGGGAATACGGACGCATCTCGACAATGTCGGCTTGCCACAGATCATTGTATCCCCGCATTATGACATGTCTTCAAGGGAAATTTTTTCTCGCTGACGCGTGCAACTCGTTTACCAATTGTCGTCTCTCCAAATTATGTTGCTCGTTGTTATTTTCACTATTCATTCTCGTTCTTTCGGGTTCTTTCGCGTTTATGCCTCGTTCTTTCGGGTTCTTTTACGTTCGTGCCTCGTTATTTCAGGTTCTTTCGGGTTCGTGCCTTGTTATTTCGGGTTCGTGCATCGTTCTTTCGGGTTCTTTCACGTTCGTGCCTTGTTATTTCGGATTCTTTTACGTTCGTGCCTCGTTATTTCGGGTTCTTTTGTGCCTCGTTATTTCGAGCTCGTGCATCGTTTTTTGGGTTCTTTCACGTTCGTGCCTCGTTATTTCGGGTTTTTCGGGTTCTTTCGTTCACTCACGTCCTTGACAGTTTCGAAAATCGTTCCTGACTCGATCGCAGCCTTTTTCGCAGTCGCTTCTGACCCGTTCAAAGCCCGCCCTGGCCCGTTCGCAGCCGTACCTGAGGCGATCGTAGCCTTTAAGTACTTGTTCGTAGCCTCGTTCGCAGCCGTTTCTGACCCGTTCGTAGCCTCGTTCGCAGCAGCCGATACGCCGTTCACTGTTAGACATTTTACTACAGTTGTCAGCGGTCACATAACTACCGCCGCTGCTCATTGTAGATTAGTACTACGCTGATAATTCTTCGTAGCTGTTCAACAACTGTTTGCAACCACTCGAGAATCCCTTCTAGACGTTTCACAACTGTTTGATGGACGTTTCTGAGCCAACCGTTCATTAAATGTCTGTGTCTGAGGTAGTGTTTGGCGCACGCAAAAGTTCTTTTATCGCAGTCTCCAACGCTCGTACATCCTTCTCTAACGCAGTCAGCTTCTTATCTAACTCTTTCTGTTAGATCATCAATGTTTTAAAGCACTCTTCCAGGTACAATTTGTTGACGGCATCGGTATCCGCCTCATGTAGCGCTACACGGCGAATTTTGCGCGATCTCGCGTCATAATCTGTAGCGACGCGACATGAAGCGTTTTTACGCACACATCTTCTCATCAATGTATACTAATGATCGCCGGTTGTATCAATTCTCCTCTCGAATAATCCAAATTTATTGATAGACATTTTTTTGCAATGCTTTGTAAAGTGTCACGCGATGGACTGAATAGATTGTCGGGACCTCGTTTAATTTATAATAATGCTCGCTTCCCGCAGTTCCTCGATAATCGACAGGATCTCGTTGTCGTGCGCGTTGTTGCCGGCTTGGCGTGAAGCGTCGAGCAATCGTAAGCGATTCACTAGCTCGATGGGGTTGTCCCAGTGCACGTAATCAATCTTATTGTCGGTTAGCGTCATAGCGCGAGGTATTCCCATGCCAGATTTTGGGCTCTCCACCCGCGTCAACGGTGCAATTAT